TGGAGATGTTCTTGACAGCAGATTTTCCCAATCTTCTCTCTGTCATGATGTTTCCTCTTGGTCCAGTTGTGAATATTTTTGTTTTCTTGCAGTTGAGATGTAACTTATATTGGAGGCTGTAGCCTTTGTTCTTCAGTAAGAGCTTCACGTCAAAATACACAGTTGTATAAGTAAAAATGAATCTGTGCATTTGGTTGGGCCTGAGTCTGAATCTTAGATATTTCACTTCTAACTATACCAATTTCCTCATCTGTATAAAGAGGCGCTTGTGAGACCCTTGCGATGATACATGTGAAAACTGGGACAAGTGGCACTCGGCAAATGTTACTGGCTACGTTCTAGACTCAGAAGTCAAATGTTTTCCCTTGAGAGAAAAGCTGATATTTGAAATGGACCAAAGTGAAAATTCTAGGCCAAAATGTCCCCATGTATAAGAATTTCTTGAAAGAGCCTGTTAAATATGGAAAAGTGGTTTCCAATCCTCAAGTCTCTTAGAGGATCCTACTAACGACCTGACCATCAGGTGATTCTGATAGTCAAGGATGAATCTTGAGAAGCACTACAACTTTTATGTTAAAAAAAAAAAGAGAGAGAGAGAGAGAGAGAAATAAAAATCTAAGGATAGAAGAGCCCTTCTGGGTCCCTTTTGTGAATAATGGGGCACAGGATCTGAATGAAATACACTATCTCCAGAGAGGCAAAGGGAGATCGGCAGGATCAGGCAGAATTTGTGCTGTTATTTTAACTCTGTAATGTTGTTAGTTGCTGTAGGGACAACCTCAACTCGGGCGCCCCTATGTGTGCAGACTGGAATTGCTCCATATGCATTTCAGAAGCTATCAGGTGTTACTTCCAAAAAGCCTCAGTGTGGTTTTGAACCACCACCCTTTAAGTTAATAGCCCAGCATTTAATCATTTACACCACTCAAAGGCTCCTGCTATTGGTTCTTTTCAACCCCAGTAAGAATCCAAGCCTGCCTCTAACCAAAAAGGCTGATGGTTGAATCCCACTAGCCATTCATTACACGGGAGAAAGACGGGGCGCTGTGCTTCCAGGAAGGTTTACAGCCTTGGAAACGCTCAGGGGCAGTTCCACTCCGTCCTCTGGAGCTGAGTTTGGATTGACTCAGTGCTAATGAGTTTCGCTTTTTGGTTGCAGTATAACTAAAGGACCTTATGCTTGGAAAGGTGAAGGGTCAATGAAAGAGAGGACGACCCTCACCAAGATGGACTGACACAGTAACTTAGGCAATGGACTCCAGTGTGTCAGAGATGACGAGGACGGCACAGGAGAGGACAGGCTCAGATCTGCTGTTCATGGGGTCGTTATGAGTCATACTCGACTCAACGGCACCTAAACAGTAACAAGACCCTTTAAAAGGCAAAGTAAAGAAGGAGAAGTTGGATAAAAGCATCTCCATGGCTGCGCAGCAGCTGTTAAATTAGAAATAAATAAGGGGTGGCATTTGAGCAAGATGTTTGACCCAGGGTGGGCTCCTGGCGTTTGGGACAGGAAGACAGGCGACCCTACGACCACTAGTGCAGCTGGGAGGGAGGACCCCTCTGATTTCATGGGTCCCTTCGTGGGCTCTGATATTCGCTTTCCTCATAAGTGCTTTTCTCAGGCTCAGTGGCCCCCTCCATTAGTGCTCCTCTGCAAACGCAGATGTTCCTTAAGCCCTGCAGTCACCTGCAAAGTATCTCTTTCTCCTCTGCAGAGCTTGAATAAACACTGTTTTATAGCTGACCTTCTCCCCAGCCCCTTCAAGCCTTCGATCCAGCCCCTTTTCTTTAGTTTCTCTCATCTGTGGCCTGACACGGTAGTCATTTTGTGTGTCACTTAGATTGCAGATTAAAAGGGAGCTAGCTAAATTCAATTTGGGTAACAGATACCGTTAGGTATGGATTAAATTTAGACAGTGTGTTTAAGTGCCAAGGTAAGTAATATTAGAAAGGAGAGGAATTAGCAGTTTCTGTGGAGACAGCTTCTGGGATAGCTCTATTTATTGATATTTTTTTTTAAAAAAACAACAACCCTTCTGTTAAAAATAATTAAAATGTGCCTGTGCTAATCTTGAATTCCCACATGAGAGAAAGGGAGGGCCCCGGCTCCCATCTGGTGGCCTCGGATCCTGCCCTCCCTGACCCTATAATATCCCAGTTGCAGTAGAGTATTTTTAGGTAAGACTGTGGTCTGGGGCCAGACCAATAAACTTGTCCCTGAGTGTAATCAAAAGACGACACATCTGGTGCTGAGTTGCTCTAGGTGGCAGCTCTGAAGGACATACCTTCCCTCACTCTACATCCCGAGGAGCCTTTGTTCCTCCCCAAATGCCCGGAGTGGCAGTGGGATGTTGGGTAAAGCTACAGACCTACTTCTTGTCAGTTTACAGGTGTGGTCCTTAAGGTAATTCTCCTTGGGATCCCCCACAGCAGGCTATGTAGGAGAGTGGGGCCACTTTCCTGAGCTCTTGAAAGCAACTGGCCTTGCTTATAGTGCTGAGATCCAATCAGGCCCTTTAGAAGTGTGAATAGA